GGCGTGCCTGGCTGAGGAATTCTGGGAGTTGAAGTCCACCAGTCATCAAAGGGCCAAGTTTGAAGACCCCTGTATTATAATCAAGGGCCAGTTTTGAAGACCCCTGTATTATAATCATGGTCATATGAAAAACAGTCATAAGTCACTTTTTTCTTGTAACTTTGAACAGTCACTAAACAAATAATTGTAAAGTCAAGAATTACCTGGCCAGTGATATTTTCAACCGAGTCAAGGGTCGTTGTGGTAGATTATCCAAAATCTCTTCACTGTTCTAAATCGCAATCCCATAAAAGCGACCCTTTGCAATGGACGTTAAATGATCAGTTTAGCAAGCGAATTAATTTCCTGAATAGGTTGAATTCAGTAAAGCTATTAGCCGCTTTCATGAATTGAAGCTGCTCATTCAGTGGCAATATTGGGGTACACGGAGGTAAAGAAGGATTGGGTCTTAAAAGATTCACCCTACTGTATGTGTTAGGGCAGCAGCCTGCTGGCGTTCATTTGGCTTCTGTTGCGAGGTGAGACAAATCTTGATTTTCCTTTCTTTTGGGGGCAGACCGGTGTGGATCCGGGTAAAATATCGGCAGCAAAGAAAAAAGCACGAAAACGACACGCCAAGGAACTGAAGCAGCTGGATGAACAGCATAAGAAAGCCGTCTTGAAGATGGTAAGTCTGAAACGCCTTGGGGAATACAGACTGGCTTGGGTTTCGGAGTCACTGATTAGAATAGAATAGAGTAGTAGTAGTAGTAGTAGTAGTAGTAGTAGTAGTAGTAGTAGTAGTAGTAGTATGGTATGGTATGGAATGGAATGGAATAGAATTTAGAATAGAATAGGAATACAATATGGAATAGAATAGAATAGAATAGAATAAAGAATAGAATATAGAATAGAATATAGAATAGAATATAGAATAGAAAATAGAGTAGAATAGAATAGTATAGAATAAAGAATAGAATATAGAATAGAATATAGAATAGAATAGAAATAGAATATAGAAAAGAAAATAGAGTAGAATAGAATAGAATAGAATATTGGTATGGAATAGAATAGAATAGAATAGAATATGGGATAAGATAGAGAATAGAATAGAATAGAATAAAATAGAATAGAATAGAATATTGGAATGGAATGGAATGGAATATGGGGTAAGATAGAGAATAGAATAGAATAGAATAGAATAGAATAGAATAGAATAGAATAGAATAGAATAGAATATTGGAATGGAATGGAATGGAATAGAATAATATAGAATAGAATAGAATAGAATAGAATAGAATAGAATAGAATAGAATAGAATAGAATATTGGAATGGAATGGAATGGAATAGAATAATATAGAATAGAATAGAATAGAATAGAATAGAATAGAATAGAACAGAACCTTGGAGTCCAGCCCCCTGCTAAGAGATTTGCACCAACAAAGGAGAATACAGGTATTCCTCGACTTACAACCACAATTGACCCCCCCACCCACATTTCTGTTGCTAAGTGAGACATTTGTCTAGTGAGTTTTGCCCCATTTTACGACCTTTCTTGCCGTAGTTGTTAAATGAATCATTGCAGTCGTTCAGTTTAGTAAACACGATTGCAAAGTGAGAATTTTAAGAAGAGGCTGGACAGTCTAGGGGTCTCCTGCTTGAGCAGGGGGCTGGACTAGAAGACCTCCATGGTCCCTTCCAGCTCTATTCTATTCTAATTCTAATTGATTTTGCTTCTCAGAAGGTCTCAGAAGGAGATCATACGAGTGGATTACAATTTTGAAACCTTTGTTTGGTTTGATTTTGGTATTCTTCTTCTTCCCGTTAACTATTTTCTCCCTAATGTAATATGCAGAACACAGGTCAATAATTTGCACATAGATTTAGTAGTTTAAAGAGGGCAAAGCGTCACAACAAATTTTATAGTCATGTATCAATCAGTATTCAATAGAGGTGATAATATATGTATACGTGCGGTTCGTTGGTTTTTTTTTTTTAATGCACCTTTTTTTAATATTGTGATTGTTTTGTCTCCTTTGTCCATTTTTTTTTTTTTTGCCTTCGTTTGTCTTTTTTCCTGCTGTCGGGTATTTTGTATTGAAACCTTGTCTTGAACGAAACGAAACATATTTAAAAAGACGAACAACATGGAGCGCGGTATGAAACACGAAGTGTTGGAAAACGAAGTCTCCCTTAATGGGAAATTCGCAGCGGCCGAAGAAACTCCGCAAAATGTCTCTCCGGAGGAAGTGGAACATTTTATGATACCGGGAAGCCACGTCCACTCCATCATTCTAGATTTTTCACCCGTGAACTTTGTGGATTCAGTTGGAGCAAAAGCCCTTCAGTCAGTACGTACTACCTGGGGACTGGAGGCTAAAACATATAAGGAACGGTTGCTGGAATTGGGCATGTCTAGTTTAATGAAGAGAAGGACGAGGGGGGACAGGATAGCAGTCTTCCAGTATCTCAGGGGCTGCCCCAAAGAAGAGGGAGTCAAGCTGTTCTCCAAAGCACCTGAAGGCAGGACAAGAAGCAACGAATGGAAACTAACCAAGGAGAGAAGCAACCTGGAACTAAGGAGAAATTTCCTGACAGTTAGAACAATTAACCAGTGGAACAACCTGCCTCCAGAAGCTGTGAATGAATACCGGTTTTAATCGCTCTTTCTGAGAATGAAGCAGCTGCTTAATTTTGTGCTCTTTCATGCACTCGGAGGAGAAGTGGGTCAAGTTAAAATGATACAGAATAAGAGAATAACAGAGTTGGAAGGGACCTTGGAGGTCATCTAGTCCAACCCCCTGCTCAGGCAGGAGATCTATACCATTTCAGACAAATGGCTGTCCAGTCTCTTCTTAAAAACTTCCAGTGTTGAAGCATTCACCACTTCTGGAGGCAGGTTGTTCCACTGGTTAATTGTCCTGACTGTCAGAAAATTTATCCTTAGTTCCAGGTTGCTTCTCTCCTTGTTCAGTTCCTATCCATTGCTTCTTGTCCTGCCTTCAGGCACTTTGGAGAATAGCTTGACTCCCTCTTCTTTGGGGCAGCCCCTGAGAGATTGGAAGACTGCTATCATGTCAACCCTCGTCCTAATCTTCATTAAACTAGACATACCCAATTACACAAAAGAGCTTATTGCAATTCAGGTGTTGTTGTTTTTCAAGTCTCTCCACATACGTTGTTTCCTTACCTTTTGTCAGATGGGAAATATCAGATCCACAAAAGAAGGTCCAATTAAACAGATTTATTGCCAAACAGCCTTGGCATAGGAACATTCTCAACTACCAGGTAGCATCTGCTTAGAGTTAAATACGGGTCCACGGAATTCATGGGAGATCGGACTTAATCCACTTAACGACTATGTAGGAATTCTAGGCTGCTGCCTCTTTTGACTCCGCCCCCTGGTTCTGCCACTTTCTTCTCCTACATGGTTAGCCACTATCCGCAGGGCACCAGGATAAGGAAAAGACAAGTTTGAGAGATTTAATCGTTGTGTTTCATCTTATTCCTTGTAAGACAACTGGAGGTCAACTTTAAGGGGGAATTTTCATAGCAGATCGATAACGGGTGGAATGGGCGAGCTTTGCTAAATCCAGAAAAAGTAACCGAAAGTTATTTCCTTCCCTGTTGCAGATTATAAAAGAATACGAAGAAATCGGGGTTTCGGTCTACATAACAGCCTGCAATGGTAAGTCAGAGAAACATGGGTTAAATTTTTCCTACAGTCAGTAGGACATTAATGTTCTGTCTAGTATTCTTCAACTTGACGCCTTCCGAATTTACTACGCTGGAATTCCTACCTAGCCAAACATGATGGGTTTGGAAGTTCACCCCGTTCTTTAACCCACCAAGTGAGGTCTTACATCACACCAAGTTAGATAAGCGATCCCTTGCAGAATTGGAATTATATGAGTACATATTTGCATTTGTCCAGATATTCTGTTTGAGGTTACAGCACTGAAAAAGGAGACTTAGGACCCTTTTTCACGCTAATGACCGTTGCAGCATCCCCCGTGATCAAAATCCAAAGTGTCATGTGTCAAAATTCAGGTGCTTGGCAACTGGTTCGTACTTAATGACGGTCGCAGCGTTCCGGGCTCACACAATCCCTTTTGTGAGCTGCTGACGCTTGTGCCAAAAGGTAATATTATTCCCAGTGCTTTAGCTGAGTGCAGAACAGCCCTTCCTCCATAAACAACTTAATCCACGTGTCAGGATTGCGAGCCAAATAAAGCTTTCTCTTTATCAACTCTTCCCCGAGGGAGCAAAAACATTTTTGCTTTTGCTTGTAAGAATTATACTGTGTAGCTTTGTTTTCTGGGCATAACTTGTGGTTTCTCAAGCCTGGGTAAAAGTGACTTTTGTTTGAGAAACACAAACCTATTACTCAATCACAACAGGGACATTTGAATAGAATGGAGCTGGAAGGGACCTTGGAGGTCTTCTAATCCAGCCCCCTGCTGAAGCAGGAGAACCTATACCATCTCAGACAAGTGACTGTCCAGTCTCTTCTTAAAAACCTCCAGTGATGGATCACCCACGATTTCTGGTGGCAAGTCGTTCCACTGGTTAATTGTTCTTACTGTCAGGAAGTTTCTCCTCAATTCCAGGTTGCTTCTCTCTCTGGTCAGTTTCCAACCATTGTTTCTTGTCCTGCCTTCAGGGGCTTTGGAGAATAATTTGACCCCCTCTTCTTGGTGGCAGCCCCTCAGATACTGGAATACTGCTATCATGTCTCCCCTATTTCTTCTTTTATTTAGACTAGCCAAACCCAAGTCCCGTAGCCGTTCTCCGTATTTTTTTAGTCTCCAGGCCTTGGATCATCTTAATTGCTCTTCTCTGAATTTTTTCCAAACTCTCAACCTCTTTTTTGTGATATGGTGACCAAAATTGGCTGCAGTATTCCAGGTGTGGTCTCACTAGGGCTTTGTAAGGCGATACTAATACTTCGCGTGATCTTGATTCTATGCCTCTGTTTATACAACCCAGGATTGTATTAGCTTTTAAATATGGACTTTCTGATAAACGGCAAAAAGGTCTTTCCGATAAGTGGTAAAAAGGATTTTCTGATAAGAGACTTCGGCTAATGAAGGAAAAGGTTAAGGAAACAATGGGGTAACAGGAATTAGCAATGATTTGAAATGACACACAATTGTACTTTATACATTTTATTAAGTTCGACCGTAAGATAAAATACAGAAGGAACAAAACGTTAGGAAACCCAAGATATTTTACTCCATAAATTTCGTTAAATTTCATCATTTATTTCATTCAGTTTGTTTGCCGCCCATCTCGCTTATCAGGCGACTTCTTGGACGGCTTTACGATAGGAATAGGAGTCGGTTTCCACGTGGCAGGGGGGATCCCGCAACGGCTGTGTGAAAAAAGGGTCATAAGTCACTTTTTTCAGTGCTGTTGTAAGTTCGGTCACTAAATGAGCTGTTGTAACCAGTGGTGGGATTGAAATACCCGAACAACTGGTTCTCTTATTGGATGTAGGCCTGGGCCTCTGAGGCCTAGAACAGACTTCCAGAAGTGGCATCCACGCACTTCCGGCGGGCCATTCTAGGCCTCGGAGGCATCCTCCAGACCTCCGAGGCCTAGAACAGACTTCCGGAAGTGGCATCCACGCACTTCTGGCGGGCCGTTCTAGGTCTGGGAGACCTCCTCCAGGTCTCCGAGGCCTAGAACGGACTTCCGGAAGTGGCAGCCACGCACTTCCAGCAGGCCGTTCTAGGCCTGGGTGGCCTCCTCTAGGCCTCAGGCCTAGAACGGACTTTGGGAAGTGGCATCCACACACTTCCGGCGGGCCCTTCTAGGCCTGCGAGGCTCCTCCAGGCCTCCGAGGCCTAGAACGGACTTCCGGAAGCAGTGTGCATTCAGACGGTTCTCCAAACTCAGCAAAATTTAGCTGCCGGTTCTAGCGAACCGGTGCAAACCGGATGAATCCCACACTGGTTGTAACTCACGGACTACCTGTATAAGGGACTCTTAAATGAATACCTGACACTTGATATCTAATACATGCCTGAAAGTGTTTTGTTTTTTCCCCCCTTTTATTCCCATCAGGCTCTGTTATGGACAACCTCACCAGACTGCATTTTTTTGAGAAAGCAGCCTTATGGGACTCGTTCTTCCCCAGCGTTCACGACGCCGTCCTGGCCAGCCAGGTGACGGGCTTCTCTTCCACCTATCTTTAACTCAACTGCTCCACTGTGAACCATGTGGATCTATTTCCAAGGGCTCCTGTAGACAATTTATTTAATTTGCGCAGATGACAGAGCCTCAGACAAGCCACTCCTACGGGTAAGGTGTGTCTGCACCGCACCGCACCACAACAGCCTGTTCCCTGCCGGCCCTGGGTTCTTAAGACTCCGGAAGCCTTAATCCTTTCAAACGTCACTGAATTCAAAAGTCGTCGATGGAAGCGTGGGATAAACGCAAAGATTATTTGTAGAGCGCGTGAAGTTGTGTTTTGCTGCGTACGTTTGGCAGTGTTTTTGTTTTGAGTTAGCTTGCCAGACAATATTAATATTATTTTAACAGTGTCTTCCTGGCAAGAATTGGGGTGACTGTTGAAAGGAGCTGTTGTGTGTGTGATTATGTATTGTGTGTTTGTGTGTGTGTGTGTGAGAGCTCCTCTAACTTGAATATGCAAGCCGTTTCCAGATTTTCGACGCAACGCCGTTTCCAGATGCAGAAATCAGTGCTTTTTCATCTGAT